GTTAAACAAAAATTTAATTTTTTCTTAACAAATTCTAAAATATTTTTATTTATTTTTTTTCTCTATTTTTATTTATTTATTTATTAATTAATTTTTTATTTTATTCAATTTTTTTTTATTAATTTTTTGTTTTGTTTTTTTTTTTTTTTTTTTTTTTTTTTTTTTTTTTTTTTTTTTTTTTTTTTTTTTTTTTTTTTTTTTTTTTTTTTTATATGTGTTTACATTTATGATCTTAAAGTCAACCATTCAAATCAATATTAAAAAATTCCTAGGCTGTAAAAAATGAATTTTGCTATTCACTCTCCATTCATAAAGTATTTGAGAAACACTTTAACTTTTCAGCTTACTACTTGCTTTTTCTTCAACTAAATTAAACCAGAGATCAATTTACTTAATTTTTTGCATTGGGCTGAAAAAATTCATTTGATTTCATTTGAAGTAGAAACTTGACAGCAGATCTAGTTCCAGAATTGCAGCTGCAGCAAATGGCAATGACAGCTAATTATGAATATGTTTCGACACATGAACTGCCTTGCTCGAACAAACAGAGGGACAGGCAAATAGGTGGAGAGACAGACGGACAGACGAAACGGACGGAACTATTTGCATTAAAACTGACCAAACAAAGTTCAGCTGAGTCTAATTTGGCCGACTGCCTGTTGGCATAGAGCATATATGCATACACACACACACAATCGCACACTCGCACACACATAAGTGAACTTATGCAAACAGTTAGTACTTGAAACTTGCTAGTCAAAGTGTTGTGGAAAGGGGGCAGCGTGGTCGCTTGGACAACGCTATGAAAATGACAATAATAAAATTTAATGTACACATATGCATGACTCCTGCTACTTATGTATGTGTGCGTGCGTTTATGTATGTGTATGTATGTATGTAAATATCCCTTGCTAACCGTAAAAACGTTTCCGACTGTTGCAGCAGCACCAAAAACTAAAAGAAAATAGCAGAAAAATGAAAAAAGAAAAAAACTAAGCTGCAATGTCATGTGGCAGGCGGCATGAGGCACAGTTGAAAGTCATCTAGTTTAGTAAGCAGACTATCAAAGTAGGGGATGAGAATGGGGGACGATGTAGAGGTGGGTGTAGGGCTTGATGTAGTTGGGAGTTGTGGTGTGGGGCAGGACACTAGCGGTACTCGAAGTTCGTTGCTTGCAAAATGAGGCGGGCGTCATTTTAGTGTGCCAGTGTATATGTGTGAGTGTGTGTGTGGGAGTGTGTGTTGGAGTGTGTGCAGCAGACCAAAACACTTCCTACCGCTTTGCCCAAGTATCATTAAAAATATAAAAGTATTTTATGCACACACACACACATGCGCACACTCACAAGGACTGTTTGGTGCACATTAAGCCAGTTCACATGACTCTACTATCTGTGTGTCACATACAGAGTCTGTGTGTGTGTGTGTGTGACTCATCCCTATATCACATGTGTGTATACACATGTATATTTTTGGGGACGTTGTCGCTGATATTTTTATGCCCTAACTAAAATGTATTTAAGCTGATGAAATGTGAGATAGTGTGAGATAATGTTGACTAAAGGATTGTTTCTTTATTCTTAATTCGCTTCCTAGCAAGGAAATTTTTCCATTTTTTGAAATCTGCAGAGTTTCTTAGTTGAAACTAGATATACTATGAGATTATTCTTAAACTCTTTTGATAGCTTTTGGTATTCGATCTTATACCATGGGTATCTAAAAATTGATTTCTCAGATATTTTAATGCTTGAAGCTCTACTATATCTTGATTTTCAGCTTTGATCTCTCTGTCTCTCTCTCTCTCTCTCTGTCTCTCTCTTTCTCTCTCTCTCTCTCTCTGTGTGTTTATCGTAGTGTCCCCCTCTTTGTCTTCTACTATCAAACCCCAACTATGACAATTTCCTTTTCTTGGCTCACGCTATTTCGTTGATCACCGACATATTTTTTGAGGGTATCTTATCTGCTGCAACAGTAAAATAACTCTATCTCGCTCACTCACTCTCCAGCACATTTCTGTCACCCTTTATTTTTTATGTGCCATACTTTGTGCTGGCTTGGTTGCTGCTTGCTTTTCTGGCAAGTCATTGTCATTTGGTCAGCTGCAAACAGCTGCCAGTTTTCATCTATGTAGAGCTGGCAACGGCTCGTTCCACGTCTGCCTCGGCTGCCTGCTCCTGCCACAATTTGTGGCAGGGCCAGTGGCAACCAGTTCATTATCATGTTAATTTTGTTGTAATTTGCTTGCTAAATGTTGCCAAGTCGTCGTCGTCGTCCATTTGAAACCATTTTCCGGAGTTGCTTCTCTTTGCATATTTAACTTTATTTATGCTTTTTTGCATGTTTTTCATATGGAAAATTAGAATTTTTGACTTCTCTATAGTACCCCGTCCCTTCCGTCTTCTTCGTCTTCTTCTTCGACTAATTTGCCAACTATTTTCGCAACGAAAGTTTTCTTTTGTCGTTTTGTGGGCAACTTTTCGGGCGCACACACAAAGAGAATATGTCACGAATTGTCGTCCCAATCGTTGGGAATCGGAGCTCCAGTTGAAGTCACATTTCTGGTATATCTGGTCTTTGTATGCCCACAATTGGGCCCACAGACTACTGTGGCATTGTGTGCGTTTGTGTGCTATGTAGAGCCTTTCACGTGTGTGTTTGTTTGTGTGCGAAGCAAGGATAATGATGTGCACAGCTCTCGACTGTGTATGTCACTCAGTCAGTCAGTCAAAGAGTCAATATTTTGTTTGTAACGTTTATGCTAATTATGCATGTTGACATGGAAAACTGTGTCACCGTACGGCCCTAATTATACTCGAGAGATTTGCCAGCACATTAACTAGCCTGTGCCGCAGCCCACACCCAGCTCTCTCTCTCTCACTATCTCTCCCCTCTAGCCTAACAGGGAAGCTATCACATATTCGTGAAACTGTTTCATTTCCCACACGATTAATTTGTGAACTTTGTGTCGATGATAGACATCATATTGTTAGCTTTGTCAAAAATTCATTGAAAGCAATGTAGCCTGTAGTTAGCTAATAAGAGTACTTCAATATGAATCGCATACAAGAGAATTCTCTTCATTGTGCTCAAATTTAGATACGCTTTGTCTTTTGTTCAGTTATACCCTGTGGAATACCTAAGATGTTTCTGTGCGACAAAAGATTGTGGGAAAACAAGAATAATTATTTTCATGAATCTTGAGATAGTTAGGAATTCATCAAAGCCTCGATATATATCGATCAAGCGCGAGCTGTAGCGATATAATATTCGCTTTATATACATATTTTATGCCAGTATGCCGATAGCAGTGCTCTAGACACTGCCTGTTGCATTTAGAATTCTAGCAACTCGCTCTTATATAAACTGATCCAAGGTAAACAAATTATATTCAATTAAAGCAAAAATTATTTGATTTGCGGTTGCTCTGTGGTTGCGCAGACAGTTGTTGGTGCAAACTGTTGAAACACTTGAACAGACTCTGCAAATAATTTGCACACTCGACTTAATGAGCAGCTCTTGGATGGCTCCTCCTCGATTCTCGGTGCTCGGTCCTCTATTTATGCGCTCAATTTGAAGCTAAACCGTTCGAACTTAACTAACCAAACAACAAATTGGTTTGCGCACGAAACGAATCAATGAAAATCGATGCAGACACAAGCTCTGCCCAGACTACTGCATGCTGCATGCTGTAAGCTTGTATCCTTGCAACCGGCAAGCGGCAAATGGCAACCTGCTGGCATGCTCAACCAAAGCCCCCGGGCAGCAGCAGTACAAAATAATTGACAGCAACAGCAGTTGGGCGTTCAACTGAGTGACAGAGCAACAGACAGACGCAGTCAAAATCCAGCTGGGGCTGATGCAATCCAGTTCCAGCCGAAACTGCGGCGTCTCCTCTAAATTGGAAATGTCATTGAGGCGTTTAACTTGCGCACCGTCAACGACATGGACAGCGAATTGAAGGCAGGCCGGCAGTCAGACTGCAAAATCATTTAAAACGCCCTGACCTCGCCTAGCCATACGGATCCCATATCCAGATGCCCGGCTTCAAATGCAAGTCTAGTCCAAATGACAGCCAATTGTTGCAGGCGGCCACTTAGCTGGCAGCCGCTGCCAACGGCCAGACGTGAACGCCCTCTGAGCCCGCTCACCTGTCTATAGATCATGCTGACAATAGGCTATGCTCGAAATACCCTGTAAASGAAATCACTGGCTGCATAGTCATAGTCATAGTGAAGCACGCACTCATGTAAGCATGCATATTCAATATTTTAGTTTGCTGAACAAATTTGTCTTTAATCAAAGCATAGAGCACTCATGCTTGCTGTTAAATTTCATATTGATTGGACTGGATATACAAACGATTATTGGGCTATTTTATTTGCATATTTTGGCAGGGAGAATGTAACGGAACACTGGGTAGGTGAGACTCATGCGTGCACTTTTTGGGTTGAAAGGTCTATGAATAGTTGTTGAACGAAAGTAGTTGACTTTTTATATACCTATAAACTCTATGATTTCTTAAGAGTAAAAAGAAACTTTTATTGAATTCGCTTGATTGCCGAAGAGCATAAATAACAAACAGTTTACTTTCGTAACTTAGCAGGGAGTCTAGATCGTAGCACATACAAATTGGAGACAAAATATATGAGAATGGAACAGTACATCACTTTACAGGGTATTCAGCAGTCATTCATTCCTCAGCAACGCAGACTTTTTTGATTGCTTGCTGCAAGAGCAACAGCAAAAGGAGTTGGCTGCACAAAATCTTAACAAAAGCAATTTCAGGGCAGGCCGCACACACCCACGCACACCCACACACACACCTAGACACACACGTACATACCTTTGCGACTTGGCTGAGTGGAGCTGTCAATGTGCCTTTTATTTGTCTGTCTGCTTGCTGGAAGGCCATAGCACACATACACACATACATATATAAATATGTACCATTTATATTTTTACTCATTTCCCACTCTTTTTCTCTCTTCTCTCGCATATAGACAACAAATTCATTTGCGACTGTCGTCTACAGTGGATCTTTGAATTGAGAAATCGCACACGTCACCAGCAGCTGCGCGACTCATTGGAGAATTTCATTTGTGCTCTGCAGGAGCCGAAGCTGTCGCACTTCGTGGATCCGGTGCCGTCGCATATACTCGATCTGTTAAACTTTGGCGGTTTCACGGCCATTGGCAGCAACAGCGCCAGCATGGGCGGCATTGGCGGCATTGGCGGCATCGGCAGCAGCAGCAACTACGCCAATCTGGAGGAGCTGAGCAGCAGTAATGGGCTGACCATGAAAAAGCATAGCTCGAGCAAATCACGACAGGCGTTGCGCGGCCAGCGACAATTCACAGACAATGCCGAAAATGTAGTCGAGTCGAAGCTGCGAGTGCGTCGCAAGCGTCAACAGCAACCGGAAGCGGAAGTAGGCGGCGTCGCTGCCGTGGCGCAAACACAAAAGCGTTATGACTACTACGACGACACCAATGGCAATGCACACGCATCGAGCTTGGGCCTGACACATGGCTTGGACATGGATGACAATTTGAACTTGCATAAGCAAAGCAGTTTCTATGGCGCCACTGGCCTGGCTCACAACGATGTCGAGTTGCAGCACCAGCTGCAACCGCAAGCCGGCGATGCACTCGACACAATGGCCAATAAGAACTCCTTGAACGTTCATCTCTTCATGCTGAAGCCGGATATGCTGCCCTGCCACGATGAGCTGAGCGATCCCACCGAGCTGCCACTGTCCCGTGATCTGATGGATGTGCGCAGCAATGCGGGCCAAGATCTGCTCATCAACGGCGCAAACCCCATGCAGCTGACACTTGGACTACTATTAAGCAGCCTCACTCTCATGCTGCTGCTCAGTCAGGGTTGAGCATCTATCGGGGAGGTCGCTCTACAGCCCATATGAGTTTTAATTGTAAATACTCGTGAGCATTCAGTCGGTTGTTCTACAGCAAAAATTAACTAAATACTAAAGATCTTTTCATATGGATACAGAGTAGAACTTTTGGAAACGAGCTTCAAAAAACACAACAAAAAACCAAAAAAAAAAAAAAAGAGTTAAAAGAGAAAGAAAACTAAAACACCTTAAAGTCTTGTATATATGTAAAAAATGAAAATTCGATAAACAAAAAAAAAAAAAAAAAAAAAAAAGTGAAACCTAAACTTAATTTAAAACCTAGCTGTTAGCTGTAGCATTAGTCTTGACTTTGACAGAAACTTTGAACCGAACTACCAACAGCACTAATAAAACCGAACAGATATCACGAAAATTCAAATAGAAAAAAACCAAAAACAAAGAAAAACCTCCGAACAAACTGGCGTTTCATTTTAACTCAAAACAACAAAAAAGAATATGAAAAAAAAAGAAAACTTAAGCCCAGCTAAAAATGAAATCGAACCCAAAACTACAAACACTGTACGACATAGCTATAGTTTTTATGGATAGCCAAACAGTTAGCATTATTTGAGATTCCGTTAACTCTTAAACAAGGTACACACAGTACAGTGAAACACTTGGAAAGCGCTAAACGTCTTAGGTACACAGTCAAAACAAAAGGCCAACTAGCTGCAGTTGCAGCGTCCAACAGAGGCAAGCCTGTAAAATATAATTGCAGAAAAAACAAACAGACATACGACAGCTGAACGTTTAAGTAGATTATCAAACTATAACTAAAAATAAATTAAAAAACAAAATAAAATAAATATTAATATTAATAGATAACTTATGCTTAGTCGACCTTAGTTAGTCGGCTTCTCTTTAGCAGTTAAGCAATGCTTTGTTTCTAGATCTAAGCAGACACACACACACACACATCTATATTTTCCAAATTTTCCTTTCACTCTGCCACGCCCACAACTGTCGCCTGCTGCAACTACAACTGTTTTTTTATACTTTCGCTGCACTCTGAAACAAAGAAAAAATAATTTAAATAAATTGCGAATTTATAACTCATTTTGAATAGATTTTAAATTTTTAGCAGATGAATACATATATATGTGTAGGTATATATATGTACATATTTATATACATATATATATATATGGAAATAAGAGAGCAGAAATATGCATAACGATTTTTGTAGCTTAAGACTGAATAAATAAATATAAATTATGCTTAAACATATACTCTATACTATATACACTATATGTCTATGTATGTATATGTGTATGTGTATATGTATTGTACGTTTAATTGTATTGTAATAATCGCAAGCTGGGGGAAAGGGTAATGCTATTTATATAGAACACGAGTATCGAGAGCACACACACACACACACACACACACACACACAAACAGTCACACACATACCACATACGCACGCACACACAAACGCATATTCAAATACATTTATTCATAATATGCATATATACAGTTAATATACATAAGTGCATATTTCAATTTATTTAAGCTCGTCGATAAATTTTTTGCCAATTTAATTATGCACAAAATATAATTTGCATTTGCAAAAACAGAAAACGCTGAAAACTTTACCATATTTGATTAATGTGTGTGTGTATTTTCGCCATAAGAAAATATAAATATGATTATGAAAATAAATACATATATTAATTGAAAAAAATACAGAGAAACGCAAATTGCAAATTATGTATAAGTGTATAAACAGAAAAGCAGAAAACTGAAACAGAAAGCAGAAGGAAACTTAAATGTAAACCGAACTCAAATAGAGCAGAAATAAAACTCAAAGCATTAGAAGCAAGCATAGTTTTTAGTGGACAATCAGCAGAAAAGTCAAAGGAAAATGGAAAAGCACAGCGAATGCGAAATAATGAGAAGCAGAGAAAACTTGACAGAACATTGAGAAGCACGCAAAGCAGTTAAGTAGCCAGAAATAAAAAAAAACTTCAACTAAAAATTTATAAAAAGGAAAAAAAAAAAAAATTAAACATAAAAAAATTAGTTTAAGCTAAATGTATCTAGAGTTTTCAATAGCGAAAAGTTAAGCGTAAGAAAGTTTAATTAAATGTGCAAAAAGAAATACAAGAAAAATAAAAGCAAACGAAAATCCAAAAGTGAAACTTGATTCTATTTTTCCCGAGCGAAGCGGCACAATTTACTGGTGCTGTTAGCTCTCTATAGGCATTTGAAATATGTTTTTTTTAAATCGATTCGATAAGTATATATATACACATATATATACACATTAATTTGCCAGACTCGGATTATACAATATATGAATTGAAATTGCCTGTAAAGTAAACTTGATTAGTTTAGTGACTCGCATTAAATGCTTGTAATTAATGAAACTAAAATATGATTTCATATGTAGTTAGTCTTAAGCGTTCTTAACCAAAGAGTCTTGAGTTCCTGCTCTCAATTGAAGCTTTGCCAGTATCTTTCATTTTGCTTCAATATCTTCTGTTTATGATTTTCAATAAAAAAAAAAAACAAAACAAAAAACAAAATATTAAAAAAAGAAGGCACCGAGTAACGTAATTTTAAATATTTAAACAATACAATTTAAATGTAGCTTACTTAATGATTTTCAACTTAAATGTACACAAACCAAGATACAGTGAAATATTTACCAAACAACAACAAAAAATGTATTGTAAAACAAAAATAAATAAAAAGAAAATTAAAAAAAAACTAAAATAAACTTTAATATAAAAGCAAAAAAATACTTATATAAATGTACTTTGATGTAAGAAAGTTTGCTAAACAAAGAAAAAGTAAGGAAAACGTTGCCATATGTCGCTGCTCATAGGAGCGTGGGCGCAATGAGGGCGTGGCGCAATAGCGAAACGTCAAACAAAATGAAAACCAACAAATAGAAACAGGCAAACTGACAAAAACCAAATAACACGAAAAAAGAAAAGAAAAAACATTCCAACTGCAATATTTTGTTTAACATTTTACCTAAAAAAAAAATTAAAAAAAAAAAAAACAAATCCTTGCGCTCATTGCGCCCCACATTTGCGTGACAAAAACAATTTTGAATGAAAAACATCTAAATATATTTAATGTATAAAAAAACATAAAAACTGTTGTTTTTATTCTGATTTGAGTTTTCACTTTCCACACTCGATGCTGAATGAGTGTATTCAATAAATTCTGTTCCATTTTATTAGAAGTTGAGCATGAATATGGCAGTTGAGCTGGGCATGAATACATTATACTGATTTCTGCTGAAAAAATTGCAGAATTTATTTCATACATTTTTTTGCTGAATTTCTAGGTGCCATAGGTTCATCGAGGAAATAAGCTAACTGAAAAGTTTATAGACTCCATCAGCTGTTCTGGCTGAATCTATCATTTGTCTAGCTAAGCTTAAATTCATTTACTCAGATTTAGAGTTGGACTAACAATCTGTTGGAAAGGACTCAAATGCTACGTCTCTAGAGGCTTTGAGGATTATATATACACATAAAATTCTATATATATCCAAGTACAATAGCTATACAGTGAAGCCAATATACTCCAAGCTCACATGGTGAACGTGTATAGGTAGAAGGCATTTCTTTGAAGGCGCTCCTGCACCTGCTGCTTTTGCTTTTGCTCCGACTGTTATCGCTACCTTTGCTGCTGCTCCTGCCGCTGTTGAATATTTCATGCGAATGGGACACAAAAGGCTGCGACGCCACAGGATATATGTAGAGTAACGCGCTATTGTTGGCTGAGCAATATTTTTGCTAAATTTCATTATTGATCGATTGAGCGGTGCATAAGCGATTGCTGCAGGGGGTGCAAACAGAAAAAGGGCTACCCACACACATATACACACATTACTCATACGCCGCGTCGGGCGACATCTAATGAAGTTGTATGGCGTAGCGAAGCGTGGATAAGCCACCAATCGGCGACGCCTGTTTTGCCACTTCATAAATGGTTGATTGCCTGCGTGCAGAGGCGTGCAGGGGCGTGCATATGTGGGCGTGTCGCTGTCTGGTATGCATGATAAAAAAATAAAAGCGCGAAGTGAAAAGTCTGCAAAGTGATAAATTGGATTCAAACAGTGGAGCAGATTTATTGATTTCGTTGCAAGGCAGGAGCAGCACGTCAAATTGAATGTACGCCATAAGCGACAAAAATCAAAAACAGATATGCAAATACAGACACACACACACATGCATACACATGCACATACATACGCACATACAAGAAAATGGCGCTGGAAAATAAGTAAAGCGAAAAAACGAGCGCATTTTTTTCCTCTTACCAAACGACGTGTCAAATTTTCGCAACTGATTATGCCGAAGGCTACCCTGATGCATGTGTATGTGTGTATATATGTGTGTGCGTATGTGTGTGTGCGGTTGCCAGACGCGTTGCTAGACAATAATATCAAACAAGACAGCAACAACAACAACAACAACAGCAGCAGCAGCAACAGTGAAAAGTGCGCTTAGTGCGGCCTGCCAAGTGCCCGCAGCCGAAGCTGAAGTGCTCGTAAAACTCCGCCACTAGTCGCTACTCATTGGTGGGTCTGTGCTGCCAGACCATTCTTTTGCAATGTGCCAGGCAACGGCCACGCTAAAGTCAACGGTGCCAAAGAACGAAAAAAATTCAATCAAGCGGACTACACTGCAAAAAAAAGGGTTGCTATAAGTAGGTGCGACGTGTTGGAGAATGTGGATGCTTGACCCTGATGTTTGTTAGGAGAAACTATCATTTATAATAAAGAGGTCTGCAGCGATGCATGCTGAACTCTTATATCTGTTTAATCGAGCAGAACTCGAACATCGAACTTGCAGATCTAGTTCTTGAGTTGGATATAAGAGTTCAGCATAGATCACTCAAGTTCCTATTTCGCTTTTGTCGAGCCTTCTATATTCTTTGATTGATCTGTAGACAACTGCAGCTCTTAATCTTCGTTTCTTTAGATTTATTAGATCAATCACATTTATTTAGAAAAGGAAAAACTTCAAGGGAAATTGATCTACAAAATAGTAGTAAAAAATCGGCTGATCAAGGAAATATATTTTATGGTTTATATACCCAGTATATAAGTATATTTCATCTCAATAATATGTTACCTACTGCTGCTGCTTTCAAAAGTGTATCCTTCTCTTTACTCTACCTACCCTCTCACTCTATATATACATATCGCTAGAACTTTCTCCAAGTGTAGCGAATTATTAGTTCAACACGGCGAACAGACCATGTGGTTGCTGGCGATGCATTTCTCAGGCAAAAGCATTTGATTGACATGTGTCTATGCGGCGGGTCTGGGCAACATGTGTTGCCAACCTGCGTGGCTTTCATACATGTAACCTGATTGTTATTATATAATGCCTTC